GCTTCGACATCCCAACTCGTTTTCGGATTACCCCCCCACGTCCCGAATATCGTGACCGTACGTCGAGCCGTTTAGATTTGTGCCCAACTGTTGACGGACGGACGCACGGACGGACGGACGGACGATCATGCGATTCTACAAGCTGCATCTGACTATGTCAGATGAGCTAAAAACAATGCCTAGTAAAGCATTTTATGTTGACATTTTCGCTTGCATGCGTGTACAACCATGTACGAACTGGCTGTCGTTGATTGAACTGCAACAATATCCATGGGAGCATGGTTATCACGCACGGACAGACAGGCCAATTAGGCTAGAAAGAGCTGCATATACTTATAAAGTAAGACAGATAGAGCATGATGCAATATATTTTTCCTAGTATAATTTCAATGTGGTCGAAAACATGAATATATATGTTGCACGAATGTTAAATATTGTCGGAGATGACTGATTGGCCTTCAAACTTCACACGTCTAGTGTCTGTAAAACAACTGAATCAATCCATGCAGCATTAAAACCGTGCATAAAATATGCATTACCACAGCCTTTCTTACATGGATGGTATATGTGTATTGCCTGTGTTGGTGGCACACCTTCTCTAAGCACTTACCCTTAAGTGTAGGAACCCATGGTGGTGCTGGTTTGTACGACTTTGGAACAAAGAAGTCATCTTTTACAACAGCATTTCCCTTTGTGCTACTCGGTATAGGTGGTAGCACCTGCAATATGTGATCCTATTAGAAATACCTAGTATGCAAGTGCATATGAATAAACACATTTCTGGCAAGTTATACACTTTATTCCACCCATCAACATTAACAAATCATTCAAAACTTTAACGAAGCTGAACAATTTCAGCTACATCACAGACAGCACTTTTATGCTGGTCATACTCAGTTGCTATGTCTTTCACATGTCAAGTCGATTATAACAATGTCGCAAAGATCTCAGCGCATCTGTAATTGCCTAATATTTCCAGCAGTAACTTTACCAAGACCGTGACACCAGAAATATTATGAAATTTCTCCTGCAAAGAACTGCTGTTACGAGCATTGGGCTTACGAAGATTTACCATGACCGCAACATAACAAAAACTCTGTGCGAAACCTCGTACGGTCAAGTTAAACGTGGGATGCGTACCTTGGTGTCATAGTACACGGCCGCTACACGGCCACATTAAGCCAGGGTAATAAATGTAAATTAAATATTAATTAAATAAATTAATAAAGTAAGCAGGGGTGGGGGTAGTGGAAACGCGTACCTCCGTATAACGGAAAACGGCGGCGGTTCCCTGCACGGCCTTGATCGCGAGCGGAAGGTCGGTGAGCGAGCGCAGGGTCTTGGTGAGCGCGTCTAGGCTGCGCACAATGGCGACGTTCGCCTCCTCGCCCGCGCCGTAGACGGGCGCCGCGACTGCGCGACCGCGGCACGGCACCGCCAGCAGCGCGTCCAGACAGTCAGGCCGGTAGACGACGAAGGACGCATCGACGCCAAAGTGCCTTCGGGGGAAGGAGATGTAGGAGATTTATTAATACCAATCCTAGCCATGCTCGCACATAAAGTGATTATATCTGGTGTATTTCTAGCTTAGACCATAGAAAGCTTTGAGCAAAACTCATTTCCAAGTTAAGGTACATGTATGAATAGAGAACACCTTCATTATTTAATTATCTACCACCTTATCGAACATGTCTGAGAGACGGAGGGTGACCACCGTGCACTCACAATTATGTTAATGTTATGCACAGATAATATAACATTAGGAATGACGGTGAAAGGCAACAACCATTCACTTCGAAAAACTCATTAATTCGCGACACTCTTCTCTGAATTGCCTCTCAACAAACCTCTGCAGGAGATGTGTTACGATGCACCGGCATACAACGCGCTTCTCTGCGATGGTGCTGCCGGGCCAGACCACAGCCTCGCAGATTCTGCCGTCTTGGAAACGTCGCAGCTCCGACTTGTCTCCCCAAAACTGGCGGAACTCCTCTGCCTGCGAAAAAATGACGAATGAAATTTCCATGCGTATAAGTGGGAGTTTTTTCCCCCCAACTTAAACGGGTTCCGATTTACTGCAGAATTTTTCCACTGCTATTATATCAAATATTATAATAAAATATAATATAATATTATTCATTATAATATATACTATTTATTTACATGATCAATGTATATTACACAGATACTATTTATTAATTGCTTATTAGTACTGTAGAGACATCAATGGGAACTAAACATGGATAGCGCTTGCGGGCCAGTGGTGGTTGGATCACGTCTATTGAGCTACGATTAATCTTGTGTAAAATAAATACCTGGACCAGCTCAATGTCGCGGAAATTCACTGCACCACCTACCTATAGATTTGACTAGCTTATTGTTTGTTAACGGAATGAAACTGTAAAACTGCCCCGGCCAACCGTACGAACGTTTAGAGCAGTGGTTCTCAACCTTTTTTGAGTCATGGACCCTTTTGAGAATCTGGTGAAAGCTACGGACCCCTCTCCAGAAAAAATGCACATAAGCACATAAACACGAAATTTGTATGTGCCTGCTTCACGGTCCCCCTGAAGCCCATCCACGGACCCCTCTCCACAGACCATAGGTTAAGAACCCCTGGTTTAGAGTAACGCGCAACTACTTCAACGACGACGGTGTCACTCACCTCTGCAGTGTTGGCGTCGGGACCACGCAGCACCTGACTAGAGGACGACTCCTGGTTCAACAGCAGTCCAAACACGAGTGGCGTGCGAATGTGCGCTGGTGATGGGGGCTCCTCATCCACTCCCCACTACAGCACAGTTATAATGTCTTATCTATAATAACTATATATATTACATCAGAAGTACATAATTAACTGCTACTGTGGATTACGTGTAATTAACCGTGCAATTACTGCACGTTAATAATTTTCATTCACTATTACATTAATTTATTGTACATAAACCAATCTATTTTGTGTGTATCGTTAATTATACATTGTAACAGCTATAACGTACGACGATTAGCGAAGCAAATATTCCAACAAAAGAACACATAACAATGACAAACTCACGAGCATACTATGCATGACTAGATGGTAAGTATCTCGCTAAGTTTGATGTAACTTGCTTGCTGACCGATGGCTTCTTGCATATCTTGCCAAATATTTGAGTTCACTACAATTTCTAAACATTCACCTGCTCCGGCTGCCTTCGTTCCACATCCAGCAAGTTCACACGTTTGCCAAGACCTTGTTTCAAAATGTTGCAAACAGATGGCAGCACGGTCGATACCTGATCACCACAATGGTCCACCAACTTGCCTATGGGCCCGTCTGCTTTAACGACCAGGCGAGAGACATCCGTCAACCTGTTAAATTTTGAAGTAAAATTTGTCTATTTTTAGCCCAAAACACGCACTCATACACAAAGATATGCACGCACGCATGCACACACAACTGCAGAATGCTTTAGATGAAAGTGAATAACATGAATGATATAAATATTCGCATCATGAACACTTACATGAAAATATGGTCAAATTTCTGGGTGAAGGCCATTTTTCGCATGAACAGGGCTTCGAACCCATCGACAGAGCAGTCGTTGAGATGGTCTATGGAGAGTCTTGCCTCATGCTTTACCTATGGCAACAAGATCAGAAGAGTCGTAAATTTAAACGTAAGAAATTCAAAGAATTCGTTTGAACTTTATAGCAAAAATCTCGAGACATGGGAAGCAAAAATTGTGGGGACCAAAAGCAGCAACCATGCCAACACTGGTGAAACGCAAAACGCATGTATCGCTTCTCGCAACTACAATTTATTATAACCTCGTTACAACATGTTAGCAGCTCACCCTGTCGTACGTGACCACATCTACGTTTGCACAGAGATTTATGCATCCCGATGTGTCCAAAAACACAACGTCATACGCATCATGGAACTCGCATAGATTTGCTGTTGGGCATAGACTAGCACCATCTTTTGTCCAGTTAGAATCCACTGCGGATACACAGAAACAGCACAGTGACGTAAGGCGCAACATTTTAACGAGTAGTGCCGCGTATTGACGAAACCCTTCGAAATAATGTAGCATTAGCACTTTCCATTTAAGTATTACAATACATTATTAAATTAATTAAAGCACTGCACAAACCAATTGTAACACTAGTCTTAACAGTCCACACTGACAGTGAGAGGTGGAGCGAAGAGAAGGTGAACAGACAAATATAGCAAGTAAATCAGAAGGGGTGAACAGACAAGTAGAGCAAGTAGAGAAGAGGAGGTGAACAGACAAATAGAGCAAGTAAAGCTGGGTTTACAATACCGACTTTATGTTGGCGAATTGGCGAGTTGGACCAATTTCACAATTCGGCAACTCCGAGTTGGCGAAAATACAACATGTTCTAACTCCCAACTAGTTGCTATCAATCGGTTGGTCGCGCAACTTTTGCGTTTACACTGCCGATTGTCGGTTGTGTAGTTGGGAAGTTGGTCCAATTCGCCAATTCGCCAACATAGTCGGTAGTGTAAACTCAGCTTAAAGCAAGGAGTTGACAGACAAGTAAAGCAACAACAGCGGAGGAGGAGGAGGAGGAAGACGAGGAGGAGGAGGAGGAGGAGGAAGAGGAGAAAGAGGAGGAAGAGGAGGAGGCGGATGAAGAGGAGGAAGAGGAGGAGGACGAGGAGGAGGAGGAAGAGGAGTAGAAGGAGGAGAAGGAGGACGAGGAGGACGAGGACGAGGACGAGGAGGAGGAGGAGAAGGAGGAGGACGAGGAGGACGAGGACGAGGACGAGGAGGAGGAGGAGGAGGAGGAGGAGAAAGAGGAGGACGAGGAGGAGGACAAGGAGGAGAAGGAGGAGGAGGAGGAGGAGAACGAGGAGGAGAAGGAGGAAGAGGAGGAAGAGGAGGAAGAGGAGGAGAAACTCACCGAGAGCTGTGAGCAGCACACGCAGCACCTGGTAGCTGTTCATCGAGCGGTTGATCTTACGCTGCGCGAGCAGATGCACGCCGAACATCGACATGATGAAGCCAGTGAAGCCAGCACGAGCCTGAAGCACAGCCGCCACAACCGCGCGCACACATGAACTCACAACCAACACACATCCAAACCACCTCTGCACCACGCAGTCACATCATACAGACATGGATCGGGACACATCCGAACCACTTTAAAGCGATCCCACCAATCCATAGTTCTAGCTCTTATGTAGCTTCTAGCATAGTTTGTCAGCTTCTATGGCTTGGAATGGCGACTATAACTTTAACTACTAATCTATTAATTGATATGCCATATACATAATATATATATATATATATATATATATATATATATATAATAGTACATTGAACTTGTGCCATAATACAATAAACTTGTACAATAGCCTAATCACTTTATCACGAATAGGACCAGTAAGCTTGGACTCGATTTATGCTTAAGTAAGTAGTTCAGGTATCATTAATATTGCAGTATAATAATTTTTCCCCATTTCTTCACAACCTCAGCTTGGGTTGTTCAGAATTTTCACTAATCAGGAACTGGCCTGGTCCCAATCTTTATGGATTAGTGAGATCCAACTTGTATATATCACACACTAACGAGACACGCAAACAATTCTAACTGCCTCTATACCAGAGTCATAACACTTCACATCATCCATAACCACTGTGATGTGCTAAGCTCGTTGATTGCACGAGGGGGAATATAGGTCTAACTAAGTCTGAACAATTGCGATAGCAACTCAATACCATTGCCATAGACAACTATCGTGAACAATGACACAAATTTGTTCTGCAAATAGAATATCTAAAGAAATCAGACTGGCTGCCGTAGCAGTGTTAGCAACCCCACATTGCCACATCACTGCAAAGAGTGGAGCGGCTCTTTTCGACGAATAGACTGCGCCCGACCTTACGAGCAATGTCACGGCGGCGCATCGACGCACGTGACCAGCGAGGAGGGGCTTACCTGGTCAAGGTCACGCTGTCGCAGCCACACCTTCAGCAGCAGTATGGCGTCGCGGAGACCGGGGAACGTCGCGACGGCATCGCGCAGACGCTCGCTGTTCGCGCGTGCCGTTGCGTCTGCCAGCACGAGGTTGTTATAGCGCGGCGTCGCCTCGTCGTCCCAGCTCCCGACCGCCGACACTGTGCATTCACAACACCACGTCGCTTTAACAACGCTCACCTAACTCTGTGAATGACCAACTACAGACACCCGAGCCAACCCTTCACACCACCAGCAACAATGATGGCGAAACGTGGACACAATATAATGCATAATGCACCGTGGGAAAAAATGGTACAAATGCCGCCTTTTTTACATTAAAGGAATACTTTACTCTAGAATTTGAGAGTATATTATGATAGTAGATTTATAAATAATAGCACATACCTATAAATATCTACAATTACGCATTCACGTTTGTCATAAAACAACATTAAATTTCGAAATCTTCATTTTTGGGCGCTGACATGACACCCGCGATCGTGCTGCCACCCTAAAAAAGTTGCGCATTTGCCAATATATTGTGCACGTTACAGACCGAGGGCTAATCACAAAAGTGCAATTATATTTATACCTAAATGCTATTTAACCGAACGATATTCATTTTAAGAGAAATTTATCCATATTATAACTGAAACTATATATCGTTTATAAGATATTGCAATCCTTCTGCTTCGAAATTAATAAATAAGAAACACCCTCGTTCTGTAGTCCTTGGCTTAAAAGTTAATTTGCACAACTTTTCAGATCGTGCGCTTTGAGTGGAGCCACCATCGTTGTAATCAAACTGTAGATGTTAGTTTTAAAACATTAAAAAAAATATATTTCTAATGGTGATTGAACCATGAAATTTTTAATGTAGCGTAATTTTAACCGAAATCAACTGAAAATAACCCTAGAACCTAGAGTCAAGTATTCCTTTAATAAGTGCAGCTTCGTTATGGGATAAACGAATGTGTATTTCAGGAAGGTCATTATACAAGAGAAATTATCAACTGGATTTCGTGGATGCTCCAAAGAAAGCCAAAATGGTTTACCTTCTTCCTCATTAGATGGTTTGTACCAGCTGCTCCTGATGTTATTCTTAGATGGCATGAATCGTGACATTTTGTAGTAGCCATCGGGGATGGTTGTGTGAAGTCGCACTGTGCAGTGATGACCAACCTTTCCTAATGTCAGGGGAAAAATCTGCTTCTGTTAAATGTTCAAGGTATTTAGACATTGAATACAGAAATGCAGCAGAATAAAATTAACCTTTTAATACAGGCTACCATAACTGATTGTATTTGGAAAATATTGAAGACAACATGACATTGTTTTTTTAAGACATTCGCATCGAGCATCTTGTTCATAGATTTAATAAATTTTTCATAACAATGACTCTCGCCAAACTATATAATCTAAATTATGTAAGAACCTTCTGGTGTTATTATCAGAACAGGCTTCATGTGGTTGCCATGGTGATAGGTAAACATCAACTTCTTCACCAGCGACCTCTTTTCTAATAGCTTCGAAGCAATAAATGCCAAGTAAAGCGCCCTCTTGCGAAGGTAACGGTGATTCAGAAAGTCCTTTTCTTGTAAACACTCCTAAAAACAGCCATAAAAATGAGATTTTTTTTCAAACATTGGTCCAGGCATATATTGTAATATTTTAAAACCTAGCAAACTTTTGAATCATTTCCAATCTTTAGAAAAATTGTCGTGGGCATTGAAGGAGTTACCAGTTTGTCAAATCTTTACGTAGGTTAACATTATGTTCTATAAAAAGTAGTTTAGTGGGAATTTGGCTTAAAAGGGTAGGCAGCCAGAGCAGGCTATGGAGGTACAGAACTTGTATCTTGTATGGAGGTTGCTACAAGAGAGCCTGTAGATGGCTGAATAAAAAAGTGACAGGACTAGTTTTAGGTGTACAGGTTAATTTATTGATTAGTACGATTGTACATTACATGATGTAGAGTAGCAGAATGTATTAAACGTCATGCACTCACTTTTGGTATCTCCACAGCCAAGTCCACATGTATGTCAGGCATGCAGCAGAGATCCATAGGGAAGCCACCAACCACATCAATATTCTCCGGTTTTACAAATTGAAATTTTCCTTTTACGTTGTAAGGTTTCTGGATGATTGGTATGTGGATGCCTTGTTTTGTTAGCCATGCTTGATCTGTAATCTGAATGTACATTACACCACAGCTGAACATGATGAGGTTTTATAACTACTTAGACCAGGGTATCAGCATGCATTCTGCAGACTATGGCAGAAATTTCATTCTCACATGATTGGATAAAGTGGGAGATGTAACTTCTATCACGACTGTGATACACATTGATTTCATAACAAACAGTGATAAAATGATTTTCTTACACTCCCTTCTCAACATGACCTGGTGACATATATGATGATTTTTAATGTATAAATACCTCATGTGATTTACTATTGGGCAGTTTCGTCAGAGCATCCTTTAACTGCACCAAGTATTCTTCAGTCGCCTTTTTCCATTTGCTCTTCAGACAAACCTCTGAAATGAGCTCAGTTATCTGCAGATAAAAAAGACAGGATAATAAACTGATCCATATTACATAATTGATAAGCAAAAAAATAATTACAAGCTAGTATTACATATTTTCAATGGCAGTTAATATGTACCATGAATGAACTGCTCAGAGTTATAAACAAGGTAGAATAGTTATTGCCAGCAAAAAGTTATTGGATGCATGGTGACTATAGATTTTTATATTAAGTATTAAGTCCTACTTTATAAAAACCATAAAAAGACAAGACTAGTACTGCTTTTATATTTACAATGACATATAGTATTAGGGGGTTATAATTGGCATAATCTACAGGAATAGGTACTAACTATTCCAAACATGAACATAAAACTATAATATTTGTCTATCCTTACACTGTTTAGTAAAATCTTTTTAAATTTAAATGCTCTATACTATTACCTGTAGCTTAAACAAATTTGAATGAAAATGATTTTCTGTTTCTTTGAGTTGATTCAACTCATTACCGCTTGGCGGTTTGTATAGCTTTGGATTAGACTTGGAGATGCGAGCTTTTTTCTTAGACTGTAGTTCTGATGAGTCATTCTTCCGTTTCATCACTTGGTGGATCGCGCTTTCAGCCTGTAGTTGAGTTTCATCTTCACTCTCCTCAGAAAAACTGGTGCCAACACCTGCTCCGTCATCCATTTCACCTAGCATGTCAACCTATTAAAAGTAAACAAAACAACAAAAAACTACTAGACCATGCACACTCAAGAATATCATTACATCAGGAGTAGATAATAGAAGATCTTCTATTATCTACTCCTGATTACATGGATAAGATGATTTTCAGCTAACGCAGAGAGGGTCTATGTCCCCCAGGGTACTGCCGGAACGTACCCTGGTAGGCTGGTACTATCTAATATGCCGGACCGTACCTCGCCTACTCCACTAACGAGTCTAGGGAGTCGCCTACGCCTACCTCCTTAACCCTAACCATATCAGATAGTTACCAGGGTACGTTCCGGTATATCGGACGGGTCGTAGGATGGGTTGCGTCAGCAGGTGAAACGATTGCACCAGCGAACGAAATCTGCGGAGGGTTTTGACAACGCATGCAAAACAACGGCACGTAGGGGGGCGGGGCCAGCTAGGTATATAAAGCGCGCCGAATCGCAGAGCAAGAGCGTTATTTTTCAGGTCTAGGTAGGAAGAAGAAGAAGAAGAAGAAGAAGAAGAAGAAGAAGAAGAAGAAGAAGAAGAAGAAGAAGAAGAGGAAGAAAAGAAAGCCTTTTAGGTCTCGAGGAGAGAGATAACAGAGGGAATAGCAAGCCGGGTTTTCAGGTAGGTGAAAACCTAGGGAACAACGGCAAGAGAGCGGCGAATAAAACGGCAGTCGAGAAGAACGGGATTTCAGCTAGGTAAGCCATGGGACGAACTACCGAGGGAGAGACCCGTCGGAGGCTGCCTAGGTCTACGCGAACGAGGAGCGACCGTGAGAGGGGCACGAGACCGGCGACTGGCGTTAATTCTTCAGTATTACTATTATCTAGTGTGGTTATAGGTCGCGACTGCATATACGAATTGCAGCAGGCGGAATTATGAAAACTAGTAGGAAGCAATAACAATATAACGCGTACAGTTAACCCGAATCTAACTGTGTTATGTTCCCTTGACAAATCATGTTCGTACTACCTGTTATTGCTACGGTGGCATCACCGTCCTGCCTATATAACGGCAAGCCAGCGAACACCTGAATCCAAACAACTAGGAACACGCGTTAACTAGCCGTATAGGGCCTTAAGGCCCGTCTCCACACACGCGGACACGACACGACACAGCAAACGCAGCGCCGTTGTGCTGAAAAAAATACCATTGTGATTTCGCGCATTGTGTCTGAGCCGCATTGGTTCACTTCTGGTGTCAGTGATGAGAAATTATGCTATGTCCTCTGTTGTCCTTGGCTGCATGGTAGCCGTGAGCGCAGAACACCTGCATAAAAAAGAGCCGCAGAGCCGACAGTGCTCATTCTGAACGTCTACCTGCGGTGACTCTGTGGTGGAAGTGGTGGATTCTAGTAAACCCTGTTAGTCCGCAAATGTGTCACATACACGCCGAAACAGTGGAATGCAGAGGCGATGCGTATCAGGAACCTGTCTTCAAAGGGAATGTTCGTTGGAATCGTTATAAAAGTTGCCACGAGAGGCGGCGTACGTTTAGCTGCTCTTCAGCATTAAAAGATGGAAGCCTCCCATCGTACGAAGTCAACACGTATTTGGCAAGACAGAATAGCGTAAGCACTCAATGCCATTTACCTAGGCAAAGCCTATCAGGCCCTGCAATAAGAGCTGCCACCGTAACCAAATTAACGCAAAACCGGCAAAAACTTACACAGTACACTACACCAACCCATGCACTGGCCGTAGGCGCACTGGCAGTGGCATACGGCTAACATGTAAAATGAGCTGACAGTACAGCAATGCGCATAAAAATTATACGATTCTAAGGAGCATAAACGCTCTTAAGCACAAGCATTTTAGCTTTTTGAAATTCACTGCTGACATTCTTAGCCTCATGACATCCAGGCATGTATAGATCTAGCTAGCAACCCGGCAGTCAAATTCTTATAACAAGACAGTCAACAAATCCATGTTTAAACCCTCCATCTTGAGGCGTCAAAAGCGTTATTGACACTTATCTTCGCCATGTCAGCAGAAAGTAGAACAGATTCATGTCCTTTCAATATATGCCATAAAAATGCTAGTCGACCGCTGAAAAGCAAATAAAGTTTTTCAATCGCTCCCTGCAGCAGACGCATGTCCTCAGAAATGTCTAAAATACTGCCCTGGCCCAGTTGAGCCGTGACTCCAGATTTCGGCGGCGTGATGGCTTTTCCTACCAATGATGCTATACACCGACATCAGAGCCTTAGGTCGAAGCCGTGTTTAGATTTGTGCCGCAATTCCTGCAATTTCCGTCCCTATACCTTAAGTAAGGAGGAATGTTCACCCTTATTTTACAGCTCTGACGCTTTGCGAAAACGCGCTTTGACCCCAGCTTCGACATTCCCAACTCGTTTTCGATTACCCTAGGACCCCACGTCTCCGGAATATCGTGACACAACGTACGATCGAGCGGTTAAGATTGTGCCCAACTGTTGACGGAACGGCACGGACGACGGACGGACGGACGGAACGCAACGGATGACGCACACGACGATGATCATGGCGATTCTACACAAGCTGCATCTGACTACGTCAGATGACTAAAACAATTCGACGTGATTGGTTCAATTGTCTTTTCAGCCGTCACCGAGTCAGCCGCGGCAAAACTCAACTCATTTTGACTTTCGCCGCTCGCCGTGGAAAGGCGGCTGGCCGCCAGTGCGTGCGTGGCGAGTGTCAGTGGCAGAGCGTGCGCCATAAGCCAAATATTGAATGAGACTTTGAACTTTGGGCGTAGGGAGTGAACGCACGCCGTTTTTCCGGGGCGTCCGCTGGTGCTCGTGCCGCGCCGCGTGGTGGATGGACCAGGGCCTTACGCCATGTACGTACTGGGATACCAGTAGTCCGGCTACCCCTAGCCAGGGCCACTTACACGTAAAACACGCTTACACGAACTACGCAGTAGCATAAAAAGCGATTAAGCGGATCGCAATGCACAAAGAATGGATTCTGGATCTTGATCTGGATAGCAATCTTTCTCATGAATTCTCTATAATATAGATCGTGATAGAACGGCATTGGCCTATCCGCGCTTAAACATGACAGTGACGCGCAGAGCGCGCATCTTCCATACCTCTTGTAAAGCTGAATCTGCCGTGCTGTGCCCGACACATTTCAAACGAAAAATAAAGAAACGCGATTATTCTTAATTATTCAAATTAGCATCGAAAAAAACTTTGCATCTACTTAAGAGACAAATATAAATATGGATATGGTAATTTAGATACATGTATGGAGCTAAGGGAACGAGAAATACAACGAAAATAATTTTTAACGTGACGTCACGAGACACGTGCTAGCCTTAGTCGGAGCCTATTCAACCAATTATAATAATTCTTTGTTCATAATACGTTGAAAACAAACCAAGATGATGAAACATGATGAAAAGATGAAACAGTGAAGATTATACTTATATTATATAGATTATATAAATTTTTAAAAGTTTATAGGCATTAAGGTGTAAGCATTTAGCCTCATAGGCTACATATAATCACTAATTGACTATATACAATTAATTATACTAGCAATATTCAATATTATTGCCAACGCAGGCTGTTCGAATAACGTCAATATACTACTATACGGTAGTAGTACTAGGCCTATTACTATATTATATATGATCAGATAGATGAAAGATTTAGATATGATTGATAAAACGTATATCTGGACAGAATTATTCGGTCCAAGGCTAAATATAGCATATGTCTCATAGCCTGAGCTCTAGTACTATACCCGCTTACATGAATTGCGGCTGGCAGCGGCCCAAGCGCAGCAGTTCGATGGTAAGCGGCTAATAGTACATAGAGCTAATGTCTACATAAAATTATATATGCCTACATATACAATATATAGCATATATAATGCATATTAGCAATATATAGCATATATAAGAGATATACTAGCATATAAGGCCATTATACGCCAGACAGACCAAAGCACAGGCCAATATTGGCCTCCAATATCGGTTAATTTGGGCACAAATCCAATATACCTGGCACTGACATTGCGAATTACGGCCTAGACCCCCCGGCTTGCACTTTGGCCCGACATCGGGTAACTGCCCAGGTTGGCAGAATAATGGCATGGGCTAAATGTACACTTTCTTGAAGTATCAGTGCTGTGGGCTGGGATTTTTGAAATGAAAAAGATTGTACTATTATTATTCTCGGTTTAAAAAATTTATTAAATGTCAAGAAATGCATATCTACCCAAACTTGAGCGCCATAACATTGCTCGTGACCCGCTAACTCGACCAATAACGCCAACACAGACAGTCGGCCTTGCGCGATGGCACCAGCGCAGGTTACCTCCGCCCGAAAACACTGCACACAACGCCTCTGTAGCAGGGCTGACCATCGTTGGAGCCGTCTTTGGGCTCACACTCTCTTCTGGAGGCGTTCCATGGTTGCACAATGGCTACCACGGCGCCACACTGCGCAAACAAAGACCGCCTGCCGGTTAGCGGTCGGCCACACGCCGGCCGCTTCCCACTCGGCGGCACGCAAGCCAGGCGGGCCGGAGAACCACGCCACGGCACTCGTGTAGGGGTTCTCGGCGAGCCATGCGCCGGATCGAAGCGAACTCGCAGCACCCACCGCGGACGGAGCACGGACCAGCAATCCGCGCGGCGATCGCCACGAGCGTGTTCACGCGTGACGGCGCTCGCAGACGCAGACGACGTGCGTCGTGTCGCAGCCACGTCGTCGCCGGAGACGCGAAGCGCGCGAGCTGCCCGACGATCACGATGACCAGCGCTCCTGCTCACATCACATCAAGACCTCGTCAGGACGATGCTGCTTGGCTGCTGCCCGACTACTGGTCTGTCCAGCCGCTGCGGCCGTTGCTCTCGGCAATCGCCCAGGACGCTAGTTGCCGGCAGAAACTCTTCCAGCGTATCGCGACGTGGTTTCCGGCAGCCCCGAGGTTTGCAACTCTTCTAACCGTCCGCGCATCGGCACCGTAACCTCTCTTGCGCGATTTTCGACGGACAGGTGCTC